TTTAAGCAGAACAAGCAATCCCTAGCCAATTTCTAGCTGGGAATGATTAACTGAGGGACGGTGGAAGGTGGGACTCTGACCTGCCTGGGTATGTTACGTCAGGGAGCATCTTTGGAAGGGAGAATTGGTCAGGGTTTTGGCATGGGTAGGAGATCTTTGTTGGGACCCAAAAGTGTGGACACTGAGGGGGTTCTTCTGGATAGTAAGTCTATTCATCAAGTTCCTTCCTGTGGTACAGTCTGATTCCCCAGGTTCTCCGTTTCCCATAGGCCAGAATCTTTCTTAAGAAATATGGCCATTGGACTACATTTTCCTACTGTGCATTCCTTGGGAAGGCCTTTCTTTCTATACATATGTATTCATTCACGTGGCTTTTAAGAAGCCTCTGTTTCATAACCCCATTCTTTGCAATGGAAATTCCCTTGTTTTTGGCAACTAAAGGACCCAGCCAGAGCACATGAACAGAATTATAAACTCTGTATCCCTACCTCAAAAGATGATACATCCGCTCCCACATCCGCTTTTTCTCTGATTCAAGCAGAAACTTAACGAGGCACCAGAAAGCAAAGGTCAAGAGGAATATGGGTTGCTGGTCTGCAGTCAGGCTAGCTAATTCCTCCTCTGCATCTGTCTTCTTCAGTTCCCCGGTCCAGGCCTGAGGGCAGTGGGGGTTGGACCGTGACCCTGTACTCATACCCACAGGGCAAAACACAAGACTCAGGAGGAGGTAGAGGGGCAGGGAGTGAAAGGGCCCAGGCCTGCTGGAGGAAATCTTAATTTTAATGGGTCCATAGTTCAGGAAACAGTCCATTTGGTGGCAGTGTCCCTGGCTTCTGCTTTCTTGACCTGGGTGTGGTGGATCCATGGTGTAATGGCAGCTGCCTTCACGGCTGTAGGAGTAGAGGGAGTCACCATGTTAGTTTCTAGCACACATGACAACAGATAGGGCTTCTCCAGGGGGGTCCCAGCACCCCTTTAGCTACCTGCCTGACACAGATGGTGTCATTGGGGATAACAAGGGGATACTGGCAATGGACTAGGAGGTCAGCTGGGTCTCTTGAACAGTCTGATGAAGTCTTTACGGAGGACGGGAAGGCCTGTGGAAACTGGAGAAAGGAAGTACTAGAGAAGAGAAGCAGAGGGAAGGTCTTCCAATCAAAATCTCACAGTGAGGAAATCCCTCCCTATACAGGGTGCAGCAGGCCCAAAGCAAGGCATCAAGGGAAGGAGGTCTATCTACCCTTTGCTGGAGTTTTTTAGGGCTTAACACCCTGTTTGTTTTTTCAACCTGCCCAGAGGTTGTCTGACACAGTAAATAAAGTTTTCAATTTATGTCTAAAAGTTGAGCTATTGAGAGATTTTACCTATGAAAGCTGGGTCATTATTGGACCCCATTGCTAGTGGGAAACCAGATGGGGAGGGGGGCAGTTCCTGGAGTAGTTTCAGTCCAGGTGGGAAATGCTTTTACCCACCCAGAGGCATAGGCCTCAATCCCAGCTTTCGGGAGGTGAAGACAAGCAGATCTCTGACCTGGAGACCAGCCTGGTCTACAGAGCAAGTTCCAGGACGGTTGGGGCTACACAGAAAAACCCTGTCTCAAAAACAAACAAACAAACAAACAAACATAGCAGGTACTTGTAACCTTTCCTGACAGGCTGTCTCCATGAAGTCATTTTTCCCAGAGTTCACCAGGGTAAAGGCTCTCTGTTCTGGATTTACTTGAACAGAAGCCCGGCATCTAGCTGAAAACATTCTGTTCCAGGCTGTCCATTCCAGTATAGCACACCTCGGTCTGACCAACTCAGGAGGTTTTGTGGACCCTGGTGAAGGTCAGTCACCAGAGTCCTGCGAATTGTTTCTGGGAAAATGATCTTTCCTTTTGATGTCCTTCATCAACCTGTAGGTTTGAGCTGTCTAGATCTTCTTTATGCATTCTGTATTTTCTCTTGGTTGTACCAGAGTACAACCTGGCTTGGAATATGTCTCCAGAATATCAACAGGCCCACGGGTCTTAGGGCCACTTGTCCAGGAGCCAGGCAGTGGTCCAGTTACCTCTTGCTCGGGAGTCATTTTTTTTTTTTTTTTGATGTCCTTAGCTTAGCAATGGAGGACAGAAACTCATAGGGGAAGCCAAATAGTCTCAAGTAGGGCCAAGAATTCCTCTGTTTTTAAAATGTCTTTCTCCTAGCAGTGAGAAGTCCTCTTTTCTCTAATGGTTACACCATGGACATGCACAGGAGCAAAAGCATAGTGACCATGTATGTGGTAAAAACCTGGGCCAGAGCGATCAGTTCTGCTCTTTGGGTTGAGGTTCCTGACCCTAAGGCTTGAGCCCAAACTCTTTGACTCTTCCTTGGGTCAGTGGTGCCTGACTGGGCAGTAGAAGGTTCTGTGGATCAGGCTGGCTCCATCTGGCTGGTAGCAAATCTAGGAAGTAGACTCTATCCCTTCCTCCCCACTCACCCTGGGACCCCCCCCCCCCAATGCTCCCAATGCAGCCTTAATCAGCCAACCTGAAGCCCTTCCTCTCCTCCTCACTGCAGGGGAGGATGGAACCTGTCTCCCCATACCACCAGACTCAGGAGACCCAGAGACACTTGTAACAGAGTTTGTCAGAGTACAAAGTCAGAGTGGTTTGTGGATATACCTTAAGGTATCTCAAATGGTGACAGACATCACCAAGTGGCCCTCAAGTCAGCTGGTCCTGATACTCGGGAATCTGCCTGCCTCTGCCTCTTGAGTGCTGATTAAAGGTGTGTGCCGCCATGCCTGGCTCCTTTTGCTTCTTTGAGGCAAGGTCTCCTGAAGTCTATGCTGGCTTTGAACATGACCTTCCCGCCTTCACCTCCTGATCACCAGTGTGTGCCACAACACAACTTTTCTTTGTTTGGTGTGTGCGCGGGGGTCGTAGTTTGGATACAGAGTCTGACTATGTAGCCTAGGCTGGTCTCCTACTCTCAACCCCCTGCCTGAGGCCAGCTAACTCCTCTAATTTCTCTCCCCCTGGCCTTTCCCACAGTTTCCTAGGACTGAACGGTGTGTCTCCTGGAGAATGTCTGCTAATCTTCTGAAAGGCAATGTGAACTGTCAACTGGACAGAATCCAGATCACCTGAGAGATGAACCTTCACGCAGACTGTGGGTAATTATCTCGATTACATTAATTTATGTGGGGAGACCCATTGTAATTGTAGGTGAGACTTTCCCAGGGCAGGGATGAGGGCGAGATGGCTTAGCAGGTAAGGGCACTTGCAGTCAAACTTGAAAATCTGAGTTCAACCCCTGGGACCCACAGGTGGAAGGAGAGACCCGACCGACTCCTGTAAGTTGTCCTCTGACCTCCACACATGTATCGTGCCTCAGTGCCTCTACAAATATATAAAATCTCTTAAAATTAATAAAATGGTGAAAGTGAGCTAAGTACCAGTATTCATTCACTTTACTCTTTGCCTCTCCTCACCTTGAGACAGGGTTTCTTTGTGTAGCCCTGGCTGTCCTGGAACTCACTCTGTAGACCAGGCTGGCCTCAAACTCACAGAAATCCATCTGCCTCTGCCTCCTGAATGCTAGGACTAAAGGATTCCAACACCACCACCTGGCTATTCTTTGCTTTCTTATAAAAAGATTTTTGGGGGAGGGGGGTGATAGGGTCTGTCCCAGTTAGGATTATTATTGCTATGATGAAACACCATGACCAAAAGCAAGTTGGGAAGGAAAGGGTTTATTGGCTCATATTCCCACATCATAGTCTATCACCGAAGGAAGTCAGAACAGGAACTTAAACAGGGCAGGAATCTGGAGGCAGGAGTTAGTTGATGGAGAGTTGCTGCATACTGGCTTTCTCTCCATGGCTTGCTCAGTCTGCTTTCTTATAGAACCCAGTACCAGCAGCCCAGCATCCCTCTGTGCTCCATCCTGTGCCAAGACTGAACACCACCCAAGCCCTCTTTCCACCATTGCCCACACCCGCCATCATGGTTGTTTCTCACTGGCTCTGAGTCTCCTCCTGCTCCTTCAGCGCAGCCTGAAGCTAGAGAGGCACTTGAAGAGCAGAAGCACAATCTCCCCCAGATGTGCCAGCCAGAAGGCTGTGGTATAGGGCCATCAGCAGGAGGCTGTGGTGTAGGGCCATCAGGAGGAGGCTGTGGTGTAGGGCCATCAGGAGGAGGCTGTGGTGTAGGGCCATCAGGAGGAGGCTGTGGTATAGGGCCATCAGGAGGAGGCTGTGGTGTAAGGCCATCAGGAGGAGGCTGTGGTATAGGGCCATCAGGAGAAGGCAGTCCTTCTGATGTTGGGAGGACTGAGGGCTAGGGCAGCGCTACCAGAGACAGGCTTACAGCTCCAAGCCCCTCCAAGAGAGGGGTGACTGCAGGTCTCAGAGGCAGAGACTGATGGCCTGGGGTGGGGGTCCAACAACTTCCGGAGATGTTATCTCCAAAATTCACTTCAGAATTATAATCAAGCTACCAAACAAGCAAGCAAACAAACAAACAACAAAAATACAAAAACAAAAAAAACCATCCTCAGGGCAGGTGAGATGGGTCATCAGGGAAAGGCGCTCACTATGCAAGCCTGGCAACCTGAGTTGTATCCCCAGAACCCACAAAAAGATGGAAAAAGAAAACCAATTCCACTAAATTGTCCCCTGACCTCCATCTGCACATCATGGCTGGAATGCCCACAAACATAATAAATTTTAGCACGTGGGCTGCAAGGTGAACACCCCTCCCAAGGTCTCAGGTTACAGGTTTACAGTCAGTAACAGCAGCAGCTATACTCCTAACCAACTCCTAAGTTCTGGATGACTGCATACTTCAAGGACTGGCGGCAGCTCCCAGGAATCTGCAGTGACCAGCCTCCTGCCGTTAAAATTGCTGCTCTTGGTTCAAAGGAAAAGCCTTTTATTGGTCCTAATATTGCAACACCAGGAAGCAGCACAAGAGAGTGTTGTGGCAATTGTGTATGTAGCATGCAAAGGAAGCACTAAATCCACACCAATCACAAGTTTCCAGTTATTTATTTATTTTTTTGGTTTTTCGAGACAGGGTTTCTCTGTGGCTTTGGAGCCTGTCCTGGAACTAGCTCTTGTAGACCAGGCTGGTCTCGAACTCACAGAGATCCGCCTGCCTCTGCCTCCCTAGTGCTGGGATTAAAGGCGTGCGCCACCATCGCCCGGCAAGTTTCCAGTTATTGACTTCCCACTAAGTTCCAAGGATTGAAGGCCAGTCAGTGAAGGTATCCAGGTTTGGGTCTGGCAAGCTGTCTAATATAGTCGTGCCTGGAGAAAGGCCTTCTAGGGGCAGGAGCATAAACTCCATCCCAGGTTGACATGCTTCAGTTAACAAGAACAGTTAGGCAGAAACAGAACTACAGAAGCCATAAAGCAAGGTTGATACATTTAGAGACTTTCCTAGAACTATGGGCTTTAATGGATTAGGTCTTTGTTTTCATTTTGGCAGGTGGTGCAGTCTATGGGCTGAGTTTCATGGCTCAACTGGTACTCCCAACATGGCCTCAGTTGTGGTAAGGTCTGGGAGTCTGTTACAGCAAAAGTTTGTGCAAGCAGCCATTGATTAGCTTGGGGAATTCTATCCCCAGGGGCCTGAGGTAATATGGCAAGAGGGGAGGATCTCCTCTGGATCCTGGGTCAGGGCTGTAGGGAACCATGAATGGACATAGCACCAGTGGACACACTTGGCCCCAAAGAATGACTATCCCTGCCCTAGTTAATCTTCCAGTGAAAAGAAATCTCAGCATCTTTGCATGTATTTTCCTGCCTGGTAGGAAAGCCAGGGGACACATGGGACTTTCAGTGTCTGTGCAAACTCAGAGGAAGCAAAGACTTTATTTAGAAGCTGCTAGGATTGGCCTGAATTGGTCTCCCAAGGACACAAGGATGGTAGAAACAAGACTAGCCTGGGGTCTTTAGTCAAATTGGTAGCAGTTTCAGCTGCCATGCGGTTTATGAGCTGGGTTTTAACTGTGGGCAGGCAAGGGAGAGGAATGTAGTGTATGAGTGATGACTGTTGACCTCACTGGAGGGCACTAGCTGTGTTCTACTGCCTCTAGCCAGGAGACCCATGGGAAAAAGTGCCACTGTCCCAGGCTTTCACTAACAGTGGAACTCTGCCATATAAAAAAACTAGACTGAGATCTCCCAGACCTTGTGACCACCAGTAAATGAGAAGCCTGGCAAACATACAGAATTCAAATTAGCAATGTAATTAGATGCACACAGACCAGCTGGGAAAACACACAACAGACCCATCTAACCGTTAATTATCACACAGTTCAGGGACCTGAGGTGTTGGAGTTGACCTGCTGCAGTCACTACTGAGCCCAGAGCCTATCCAAATATGCAGTGTGGGTTTTTCTTTTTGGTGGCAGGGTTGGCTTTTTTTTTTTTTTTTTTTTTGAGGTAGGGTCTCATGCAGCTTAGGCTGGACTTAGATTCAGTGAGAGACCCTGCCTGTACCTGATCCTCCCTCACTAGCTTCCCAAGTGCTGGGATTACAGGTGTATATACCACAACACACCTGACTTTTTGCTTGATATGAGGTCTGTTTAGCCCAGGATGATCTTAAAATGCGGTGATTCTCCTGCCTCAGCTTCCAATGTTAAGACACTACGTATGAGCAGCATGCCTGTCTTATTTTGATGGACAGGGACTATATATCATCTCCACAGTCCATTCAGGCTTTGGGAACCTCCACACACATGCCCACCATGCTGTCCTGTTCTAGCCACACCAAAAACAAAAAAACAAAAACCAACCAAACAAGAAAACAACAATAACAAAAACAACCCTCAGGCTCTGTCACTTGGCTTTGGCTCAGGAAAGCCTTGGTGACAGTGAGTCCCATGGCTGGCAAATATCCCTCAGGCCAGCCTCCACTTAGCCCACAGCTCCTAGCAAACCAGAGCTGCCTCCATCAGCTACTGGAAGGCCAGGGCCCATCACATGGTCCAGCACATCATGTCCCACTGGCTGGTCTGAAACAGAGTCCACACAGGGACCTTGTGACCAGAAGGCAGGCAGCTGGATGACTCAGAAATGATTGTGGAATTCAAAAATAGGAAGCTAAAAATATGTAGGGTGGCTGGCTTCTAGGAACAGGCGGGTCTGTCGTTCCAACCCTTGGCGGGGGATGGGCAGAAGCCAAGGTCCTGCTGGGAGCTGAGGAGTGAAGGGCAGGAAAGGTGGACAGTCACCAGTGAGTGCGGAGTTCTCTGGTCATTAACGGGGGTGGATGGGATCGTGCTGAGGTGTCCAGGGCAAAACTGGACACAAGCTGGGGAGACGCAGAGATTTGTGGGGTGCTGACCCTCTCTTAATCCCCCAACATGGCTGGAAAAACTCTACAAAGGGATAAATTCCTCTGGCGGCCCACAAGCCCTGTAGCAGTGGCAATTGAGATATGATCTAAGCTGTCACTTGAAGAGGGAAGTGGAATGCAGCAAATGGCACAATGAAGGGGCTCCAAAAGCCATGGAATATTCTCTTAAATCTAGAAGGACAGAGGCCTGCTCACATCCTTACTGAGCTCTGGGGCACCATTTCGGACTCCTGAGCCGTTAAAAAAAGAAGCGACATGCACGTCCACCAACCTATGGCTTGCCACAGAGCACTTAAACGGCGGCATCAGTAAGCGTCTCAGTAGGGCTGGCCAGGCTGCCGAGTGTGGGCCCTAAAGACTTGGGCCTGAGTGAGGCTACACTGGTGAGATACACTGGTGATCAGGGCACTTGAGAAGCAGAGGCAGGAGGATCAGGAAGGAGTTCTAAGTCACTTCAATTACACCGTGAGTTTCAGGTCTAAGTTATATCTGGGTTACATGGCACCCTGTCTCAAAGCAAAATCCCTCAAAATGGTGGTAGGGGGAAGGGGCTAGAGAGGACCACAGCAAATACCCACCAGAGACCTTGCACAGGCCTATGCATATTCTAGGGAGCCAAGATAAGAGGGTTGTGGCTGTAGCCAGGTGGGACACGGGGTCAGAGAAAACAGGATGAGTTCCCAGAGAAGACAGGAGAGGCCTCAATGGCCAATAGTTTGAGCGAGGCAGAACAGCCAGATGGACAGGCGCTGGGCTGAAAAGCACAGTAGGCTCGAGGCTGGGGAGCCTGCAGCCCAGGAACGCAGCAGTGAAGGGATCAACAATAAATGAGAAGGGGGCTGAGGAGAGCCCATGTGTGCTGAGGGGTCAGCTGCCTGGTGGGGTGGGTAGAGCAGAGAGGGGGAAATGAGGGTACAGAACCTCAGGAAATGTTTGATCAATGTTTGAGCACAGGCCCCAGGCTGTTCACTTATGAAGCAAACACTAGGCTCAGGATAGTGGGGTGCAGCTCTTCACTGTCAGGTGAACCTCGGGTCTAAGAAAACTCGAGACACGAACTTTTCAGATAGTGTCTTTCCATGTAGCTGGTCTGAGTTTGCTATGTAGGCTAGCTGTCCTCGAACTCACAGATCAAGAGATCCACCTGCCACTACCTCCTTGAGTGCTATGATCAAAGGTGTACCCAGCCAGAGGTTGGAAAGCTTGGTGACCTAGTGTGGCAGACAGGGCCCCCTGCTGGTGTAAAGCAAAGCAGACAGGAATTGTCATCACCCCATTCACAACTAGCACCTAGGGCTGTAAAGACAGCAGACAGCCTGCTGGACTTCCAAGATCAGAAGGGTCCTTAACACAGTGGAAATTCTGGGGGACACAGGTGTTTCCAGGTAAAGACACTTGTTTTTGTGAGAAGGCCTCATGTGTAGCCCTCATTCATGTTGCCATGGAATGCAATTTTCTAAAGTGCTAGAATTTCAGAGTGAGCCATGACATCTAGGCTCAGGGCACTTGTTTAAAGACCATGTTAGAAGCAGGGTAGCTACCCTTTAAATCACAGTCCTTCCCAGAGGCAGCAATTTCTGTAGGCTGTGAACTTTAGAATCAGTTCTCGCAGGAGCTGATGCACAGGGTACGGTGTGCGAGGCTCCCGCAAGTACACTTGTTTGCAGGTCAGGAGCTGCTCTGATGGCCTCTAAGGAAATGGGACAGATATCCTAACGGCCAACAGTGGGGCAGTCAAGTGCTCTGAACTGAGCTGGTGTCCCAAAGGACAGGAAGGCTCTCAAACTTTCAGCACATGTGGCCTTAGCTCTAACTTCCTCTTTGCAGGATGAGGGACTTCTCTCAGGGGAAGGAGCAGCAGTGGAGAACACCAAAGGAAGTTCCATGAGTCCCCAAAGCTGAGAAGAAAGAGGTTCTATACATAACAGCTTTACTTCAGCTGTTCAGTGAGTGGGCTCGTGAGAGGGTCTGGTCTGGATCAACGAGGTCTTTGTGGCACTGGAAACAGAAGGCACTTGGTAATGCATCATGGTGTGTGTGTAGTCCACCGTGGCTCCTGTAAGGAGTGGCAGGCTTGTCACGGTACTTGTGAGGAAGACACAGTTGAGTCCCACAGCACTCGGGACACATTCTCACTCTCAGTCACTGATCCCCGGGTCTGCAGTGCTTCTTCCACCAGGTCAGCCACCAGGTTCAGCTGACACATCCGCAGTGCGTTCACCAGTTCAGACACTGTGGCTTTCTCTCTCTCGACAATCTTCCAGACCCTCAGAGTCTCCCTTACCTGCTCACTCAGGCTTCGGGGGTACCTCTCCTCAATCCCGTCAATTTTGACCTCAGACAATTTTAGCACGCGGGCCAGTCTCTTCCAGTCTCTCCCCACATTGTCACACACGATGTCAAATGCCACCTGCAGATCTAAGAGGGAAAACAGCAGACTTACAGAGGAGCTGGGGGAAGTCTTCCCATGGGCCACTAAATGTGAACTGAGCACTTCAAAATCAGCGTCACTGAAGCCAGCAGGTCCCGTGGAGGCAGAGATACTTAGCAGCCCAGGAGCTACTACAAGGGACCTACATTGGCTTCCTAAACTGCCTAGTCACACCCCCTCAGAATGAGTCCCAGTGAGCTGCAGTTTAAAAGATCAGAAACTGAGGAAAGGCTGAGGAGTCAGAGGGAGAAAAACTGGGGCCACCTTCAAACCCTCAAGAGCAGGCTGGCTAATGTCCCCCAAAGCTATAGTCACCTCATTCTACACCATGACCTTTGCCACACTCTGGAGCCCCTGCTAGGCACGGGCAACGTGGAAGAAGATGACTAAGTGGTCCAGGGAGCCCTGGGCAGTGGCTGAGAACCCCTTACTGGATTCCTACAACAATACTAAACACTTAAATGCCTTGGTGATGTGAATGCATAACCTGTTTTCTTGTGTAACTTGTACACACAAAGTACAAGTAACTGGTACACGGGCAGAGGAAACAATCTGTTTCAAATAGTTCTGTGTCATGGCATGTGGTGTTGGTACTTGGGGGGGGGGTCTGATTTTGCTGCATTTTAGATTTCAGAGCTCCTGACTATAGAGCCCTTCACGGTGCCAAAGGCTCCTACAAGGAAGGCTTAGTCCCTCAGGGGTGGATCCAATCAAGAAAAGGAGAGCAGAGCAGAATAGCTCTGAGCTCACCGGTGGGTCAGTCCACCGATTCCCACCTTGATGGTGTTACTGGAAGGTGGTGGAAAGCCTCAGAGGCACTGCCTACTCAGAGGCAGAGGCTGTACTGTTGGGGGAGTGTATTCTGGCCCAAGCTCCTTCCTGGCGGCCATGAGGTAATCAGCTTTGCTCCACCATGCCCTCAGCAGCCTGAGTTCCTGCCTCACTGCAGACCAAGAGCAACGGAGGCCACCTTTGTCCCTTTAAATGGCTTCTCGGGTATTAGTCACAAGTGAGGAAGAGTCTAACAGATGCTCGACTTGCATCCACACCCCAAGGCCAGATTGGTGTGGCTCAGTTGTGGCTGCCAAGCACTGTGCATTATGGGAAGCCATAGTGCTTCCTCTCTACAGCAAAACGAAAGCAACAGAGGATAATCAGGCACTGTGCACTCTGGACCGGGAAGCTCAGCCGCAGCACAGTGCTCCTTTGGCTAGGAAGCACTCTGCTTGGCCACAGACACTCCCACTATGGAAATGGGGACGATGAGCAGGCAGGCACACCTTGACCTTTGCCTACTCTCTTCAGCAGCTCTACCCTCAATGGACGTAGGGTGCCTTAGACACATCCATTTCTTAGCCGAGTTTTCAATTGACCGGGGAGTGGAGAACCAAGCATTAGAGGACCGAGGCGATTTCATCTTGGTGCTGGCCAAGTGGTAGGAGAGGGAGCGCCTCCTCAGCACTAGCAAGACTACGGGTTCAACCCCGGCACTGTAAGTAAGACAAGCACCGGATCCCCGTAGTTCCGGCTCGCCCACCCGAGAAGTGGGCGTGCCCTAGAGTCCCTCCAGTAGGAGCACACAAAGGGCACCGTGAGGCTAGGGTACTGGCTAGGCTTCCCCGCCCATTTCCCCGCCTCCTCCCGCCCCCGAGCCCACCTGCCTCCCCCGGCGAGGTCGAGACCGCCAGCCCCGCTTCGTAGTTGTCCAGGCGTTGCAGTAGGTCGTGCCTGCGCAGCGAGGCCAGCAACTCGCGCAGCAGCCCGGTATGATCGCGGTTCAGATCGTTCTGCTCCAGCAGCACCGAGAACAGGTCCAGGCCGCTCTGCATGCGCTCCAGCTTGCGTTTGCCCACGCGCTCACGGCACAGGAACTTGAGCTCCATCAGATCGCTGCTCGACAGGCTGCCGGAGAGGGAGTGCAGAAGCACCAGGAAGGGATCCATGGCAGCGACGGGCCTGGCTACTCTCAGTGATTCCACACAGGAAATCACCGCGGGCTTTCCCGCCCAGCGCCTCGCGAGAATTCCAGATCCCACGCATGCGCTTCACGTGTGGCCGTAGCCATTTCCGCCCGGGTTGGCCGTGGCACTCTCGGTAGTTTTGACACCTGCGTCTCTGTGGCTTCAGCGCTTGCACACCGTGGTTCCCGGGGGAGGCGGGGGTCGAGAGGGACAGATCGTTAGGGCGATGGTCTGGGTGGGCTCTTGAGGTTCCAGGTTTACCTCTGCGGAGCTGTGCAGCCCTACTGTGTGTGTGGGGGGGGCTGGGAGCGTAGCTGAGGGCCGCAGGGATGCTTACTGTGGCCACATTCAAGCACGATTTAAAAAAAAAAAAGATTTATTTACAGACTGGAGAGATGGCTCAGGGGTTAAGAGCACTGGCTGTTCTTTCTTTCTTTGAACTCCTAGCACCTGCATGATGGCTCACAACTATCTGTAACTTCAGTCCCAGGGGCTTTAACACCCTCTTCTTGCAGGCACACATATGGTACGCAGACGAAACACACACACACACACACAAAGACATTTCAAAAACATTAAATATTTATTTTTGTTGTGTGAATGAGCATTTGTAGTTTAAGTGCCTCTCATGGGTGTAGTGCCCACTGGGTTCAGAAGAGGGTGTGGGTTCTCAAGAGCAATGGTTCCCAACCTTCCTAATGCCTCGTCCCTTTAAGGCAGTTCCTCATGTTGTGGTGACCCCAACCATAAATTAATTTCGTTGTTATTTCATAACTGTAATTTTTGCTATCGTTGTGAATCGTAATGTAAATATCTGTTTTCTGATGATTTGAGTGTAGGGAAAAGGGCCAGTTAAAGGAACACACTCTGGCTCAGAGACCCGAGTCAGTGAAAGGAATATTTTAGCCCTGAACCCAGAATTAAAGAAATACACCCTGACTCTGAAACCAGTGCCAAAGAAACACACTTTGGCCCTAGAATCAAAGCCAGTGAAAGAAATATGCCCTGGCCCCAAAACTAGAGCCAAAACACTAAAAAGGCCAATGAAAGAAACACACTTTGGCCCTAAAATTAGTCATCTCTGCCCCTGACCAATTAAACTAATCCCTGAGCAGGGAAAGCTAACCAATTCCTCTTCTCCCTGGGAAAATGCTGTCCCTAAGAAACCCTATATAAGCCCTGCAAGCAGAGGCAAACTGAAGCCGCTTTCGCTGGGGGAGCCTTCTCCTAGCAGAGTTGTTAGAACTTCACTGGGGAAGCTGGAGATGGAGGAGCAGAGCAGAGCAGGGCTGTAACACTTTCACAGGGGAAACCGTCCCCTAGCAGAGCGTAGTTGTTACACTGAACCAAACTGTAACAACTTCGCTAGGGGAGCTCTCTTCTGTGAGCAGAGCTGTTACATCCGGGAAGCCTTTCCCTAGAGTTGCACTGTAAACTGCCACACTTACTGTGACCTGTGTCCCTGGCTCCCGACTGCCAGAATGCTCATCCACCCGAGCTGTAACACTCAGCATTCCCTGACTCCCGTCTGCCAGGATCCCTTTCCATCTGAACTGCAATGCTTACACTGAGGTGGCCCGTGTGAAAGGATCATTTGATCTAAATGAGTCATGACCCACAGGTTGAGAAACGCTGCTCTATAGAACTAGAGATATGTTTGGTTTTGAGCAGCTGTGTGGGTCCAGGTCCTTGGCAAGAGCAACAAAGTGCACTTAACTGTTGAGCCATTTCATGGGCCCAGTAACGTGCATATTAAAATCAGTAGAAGAGAGGACCCAGAATCTTGTCATCAGAGAAAGCTGATACACGTCGGAGGTCGTGGGGATGTTAACTGCTGTGACTTCAGCTTTCATGAACAACACAGCATGTTCCCCGTAGCCATCACAATTACTATATACAAGTTAAAAATAAAGCAGGGGCTCTTGTTTGAGGGCTTCAGTGGGCAAAGTGCCTGCTGCACAAGCATGTGGACCTGAGTTCAGATTCTGACGTCCACATAAAAAGCCAGAGAAGGTGGTGCCCATCTGTAACCAACTCTAATGGAGACAGGTGCATTCCTGATGCTCAGTGACCAGCCACCCCCGCTGAGTGGCTGAGGTGCAGATTCAGTGAGGCCCAGCATACACAGCATCTCATGTAAGCGGAGTTGCCTTACAGTTCTTTAAGTTGACTTATTCTTGACCTCTTCAAAGTGTACAGTTCAATATTTTTTGTTGTTTTCGAGACAGGGTCTCACTATGTAGCCTAGGTAGACTCCTGAGACTGTATATAAAGACAAATGAGAGCTGGAAAGGTGGCTAAGGGGTTAAAAGCTCTTATTGCTCCTCCAGAGGACCTGGGTCTGCTTGCCAGCACCCATGCTAGGCTGCTCACCGCTATCTGTAGCTTCATCTCCAGGGGATCAGAGGCCCTCTGCTGGCTTCTTCAGGGCACTGCACTCATGCGAGCACAGAAAAATACAAATTCAACCAGATGGGGAGGGCCAGTTAGAGGAGCAGAACAAACAGAAGGGGAATTTATCAGGTTAGCAAAAGTGAGGACTGGAAGTCTAGCGATGGCAGCTGCAGAGATCCAGGATTCTAATCCTGGAAGCTAGGTGCCTTGGTAGTGGTAGTACCAATCCAACTTCGAAAGCCTGGAGGTTCCCTGGAGAGCCACTAGCAAGGAGTTTGTTTACAGAGTTTTTTTTTTTTTTTTTTTTTTTTTTTTTTTTTTTTTTTTTTTTTTTTTTTTTTTTTTTTTTTTTNTTTTTTTTTTTTTTTTTTTTTTTTTTTTTTTTTTTTTTTTTGAGACAGGGTTTCTCTGTGGTTTTGGAGCCTGTCCTGGAACTAGCTCTTGTAGAACAGAGATCCGCCTGCCTCTGCCTCCTGAGTGCTGGGATTAAAGGCCTGTGCCACCACCGCCTGGCTTAGCAAGGAGTTTGTTGAGTCTACAATTACCTCCCTATGTTTCTTTGTTTTGAGACAAGCTCTCCTATTGCTCAGGCTGGTCTTGAACCCCCTTCCCCATGCAGCTCAGTATGACCTTAAACTTCTGCTCCTCCTGCTACCACTTCCCAAGTGCTGGGGATTACAGGTGTGCACCACTAGACCCGGCTTATTTTTTTTTTTTTTGTTCTGAGTGTGAATCTCATGTTAGATGTGTGTTCTGTAAACACCCCCACATTTTTGTGTACCACTTTTTCGGTCTGTTCATAAGATCCTACAATAAAAAGTTCACAATTTTGGTGAAACCAAGTGTAGGTGTTTTTCTTTTCTTTGTGCTAATAAAGAAAAGTGGGGAAAGCCTCTCTGGTGGTGGCAGCTAGAGCATGCCTCTCAAGAAGTATCTTCGTCCCTGTCCAGAAGAGAAGAAACACGGAAGCAGTGCCGTAAAGAGCCCTGGTTCCCACTCCATGGCTGTGAAAGGCTCAGGGCATAAGAAATCCCAGTCTTTGGCCATGTGCAAATGGTAGTGATGTTGGCTGCTCCAATGGGGAGAACAAGGTTCCCAGAAGGATGGTCCTTCAGGAGGAAGGAGCATGGAAAGTTCCTGAACCAAGATGAGCAGGAAAGAGAGGAGAAAGGGAAGAGGAAGGAGAGAAAGAGGAAGAGGAAGGAGAGAGGAAGAGAAAGGAAAGGAGGAGGAAGGAAAGGAAGAGGAAGGAGAGAACAAAAATGAGAGGAAGGAGAGGGGGAAAGAAGAAGGAAAGAGGATGAGGAAGGAGAGAGGAAGAAGGAGGAGGAGGAGAGGAAGAAGGAGAGGAAGAAGAAGACAGAGGGGAAGAAAGGAGGGGGAGAAAGAGGAAGGAGAAAGGAAGAGGAAGGAGGAGAGAGGAAAGGCTTCAGCACTTCTCACTGGTTTCATGGGAGTAAACTCACCCCTTGTTTGTGCTGACAACAGTCAGAACTCTGGCCTTCCTTTCTCTAGGAGTGTCTGCATCTATAAGTTTCTTTCCTCTCCTCTCCCTGATCCACTAATGCTGGCTGCTGGGCTCTCCTCAGCTCTCCGAGGTTTCTTGCCCTTTTTTTTTTTTTTTTGAGACATGGTCTCATTATGTACCTCTGGCTGGCCTGCACTCACAATGATCCACCTGCCTCTGCCTTTGCAATGTTGGGATTAAAGGTATGCACCTGCCAAGTCAGAGAGAGAGAGAGAGAGAGAGAGAGAGAGAGAGAGAGAGAGAGAGAGAGAGAGAGAGGGTTTTTTTTTTTTGTGTGTGTGTGTGTGTTTTGTTTTCTGAGACAGTGTTTCTCTGTAGCTTTGGGAGAAGAGAGAGAGTTTTAAAGAAGGTGTTGCCTCCATTACAGAGAAAGAGCAGTGTGGTGGAAACCTTCTCCTAGAGTCTATATATTTTTGTTTGTTTTTTGAAACAGGGTTTCTTTGTGTAGCCTTGGCTGTCCTGAAACTAGTTCTGTAGGCTAGGCTGGCCTTTAACTCACTATCCTCCTGCCTCCTGAGCGCTGGGAGTAAAAGTGGGTGCCATCACCACCTGGTTTAGATACCTGCATCCTAATCTCAGACCCTTGACACCCAGGCTTAGTCCTGGCCCCTGGACAGAGGCCATGAAGGCATGCAGGGTGGAAAAGATTCTGTAGATGCGATGAAGATGAGGCACTGGGTTGCGAGATCTACATGGCTTGCTTCAAAGGACCATCTAGGCCTGAGCACTCAAGGGCTTAGAACGAAAGAGCCCTGAAGAAGAAGGGGCCCAAGTCAAGACTGGCGGCACAGTTATGCCTTGGGTCTTGGGGATTGAGGGGGGCATGTGGACCAACCTGGAGTTTGGTTCACAAGGTCCCTTTGGTACTTATGGCCCACAGAGTTTCAGGAAATGTGTGGCTTCTGTTTGCAGCATCATTTGCCTCCAGGATCTAGGTTTATGCTCGCTGGGTGCAGAGCCCAAGGTTGCCAGCAGAGGACAGCAGCCACTAACAGAAAGGCCAGCAGTGCCTGTTTTGGCTAAGAGCAATGGCAGTCAGTAAAGAGGGTGGTTAGTGATAAATCCTGGCTCCACTGCCAGTGTTTCCACAGACTGCCCAAGCCTCACAACTGTCCCCCACATTCAGTGGTCCTAGTTTGGTCCTATTTAGGTTCCCCCGCTATCAATCCAGAGTCAGTGAGCTCTCACTAGCTCAGGTCATCTGTTCTTGTGGGTATCACCATCATGGTCTTGACACCTTTGCTCATATTATCACTCCT